GATCACTGAGGGATAAAATGACCATGATCAGTTCATCATTCTCCCCAGACATTAAGAAGAAGAAGAAGAAGAACCCGTGTATAGCTGAATAGAAAAGATCGGTGTAAATACAGTAAGTCTCCTATGAATCACAAACTTTGGGTTATATTAGTGTGTCCTCTCAGTTCTGTCAGGTGATGCGGCTAATTTTGAGAAGTCAGTGTTACAGTCGTTTCAATTCGATAGACCAGATTTCACTCTTGTGGAGCGTGGAGCCTTGTTTACTGGCAGTGAACTTAGTACTGTTTTCCCCATGGGACACATAACTTGTTTGCTGTTGTCCTCTCGTCCCTTCGCGTTTCTTTGTTGCAATCTTGACTAAGATTGATTTATCATCTCTGAAAATACACGTCACCTACATCTTTGAGGTTCAAGCATCATACCTAAGCCTTGAGACCAGAATTAAAGCCCGTTATCGCATACTTCTGCCCGAAGAGATAGCAGGATGGTAGTCCTGAGCGATCCACGGGCTCGCTCGTCCCTGACTCCATGACATCTCCATATTAGGGATTCTGACCCTCCCAGTGCATTCGCGCACTCCAGCGGGGCTCCAAAAGTAAACAGAGTTTCTTGCTCCACGAAAGCAGAAACTGGTCTATCGAAATGAAAACGACTGTAAGCTGATCCAGCTCGGGGCTCGGCCTTTTAGGCTGCCACCGACATCGCCGCCAACCGCGGCGCCGCTTCCCGGGTTTTCTGCCAAATTTACTCCTTACAGCATCAAGCAATTAAATACTTCTCCTAGCTGCCTCTCCTTCTCTCCGTTTCTGTGAGGGATATTGATTCTCGTGTTTGTGTACCATGATCAAAGGGCTGTATTCCCATCTGTGCAGCAAGTCAGAGAACGATCTTGGGATGCTCGAGCAGTTGCGGGAGATAATTCTGGCGTTGTAATCCATTCCAAAATACAAGACAGAAGTACACAAGCCGACTACTGGACGTAGAGCGAAGCTGGGATTTTACGAAACAAATCAACTTCTAGCCATCTCCCCCCGTTGTCTTGAAAACATGGTTGGAGCACTCCTCCCATCAAGACCCTTTGTGAATCCCGCGATGTAATGCTACTTGAGCAACTACCTGAATCCACCGTTCCCTGCATTCGATCTGTTCTTGAGTGTCTCTTGAACTCTCTGAAAACGCGCCGCTATTATCTAATTCCACAATGTTTACACTGGGAAGTATGTTTGCAATGAAATCGGACGCTAGGACAACATCATCAATTGGACGCAGGTATATGACGAGCCTTGTCACGTGCTCGTTTGAACTGCAGACACCATCGGCCAGAAGTGTTGCGTTAGCTTTCTTTGTCGCATTTATAGGCAAAGCCAAACTCGTTACATGCGACAGGTTCGTCACAAACCTACTGAGTCCGATAAAGGTAAGGTCTATGCCATCTTCGATGACCCAGTGGCTCCGCAGAAGGGCAACATCCTCTAGGTTAGGCATACAGACGGACATTTCTTCCAGAGCATTATCACCGAATGCAAAACCACCCGTGAGACGAATATGCAATTGCCTGAGGTTTCCGAAACGGAGAAGACGACCAAAGCTCTCTCTGTGAAGGGGAAGGGGACAAGAAGTGATTCTCGGATCATCCTCTGGCGGTATTTCTGTAAGCTTCAGACAAGCTAAGGAGGCCTCAGAGAACACATTTTCCACTGCGTCAATCAGGTGGTCGGCATCTTGGCGATGTCGTTCCGATAGTTCAACAACTGCCTCGAAAGAGCCAACAGCTTGCATGCTATCTCCCACCAGTTCAAGGAGAGAAATGAGGCTCCGCGTGCTTCCGCGGCCTGCGACGACCTTCTGTAAACAAGGGAAGGATGGAATGGCATGATGGTGTGGTACAGCATTAAGCGCAACCATATCCATTGGCTAGGTTGTGATGTAAAGTTCCTTCAATGAGCGAAACATGGAAACGGCCTTCAGTAAAGCACTAGGTCCCTCCTGGATCCGAACGATCGGGAAATGCCGATGGCGTGGGGCAAGAACCTATTTAGAGCTGTTTATGTCCGCCACTCGTCAAAAGTATATAGGCGGGACTGTTATCAGATAAGACGAATAAGTGAACAACCATCATCTCAGATTGATCTAACGTAATAGACCCCATCTTTCTTACTGTCATAAGAGAACACCATCGTCGAAGTCCTGACTCGGTTATGGTAGTATACATTTCCAAGCCTGATGATCGGGAACTGGCAAAGATCGCACGGATGAGTGTTAGCGACATGCTAGTCAAGACGGGTCTGACGCAAGGACAATGGGGCTCTCTCAAGGTAACATTATCCATGTTTCGAACGCATGTTTTGACTATCATACAGAAGAAGTGTTTACGCACTGTGAAGAAACATCTCGACTTGAGTGTACCTTACGAACAACAGAATCGGCAGCGTCTTGAAGAAGTGGCGTTACTCGTATATGTTTCTCGCAGTATTATCATAGATGGAACTAATGCGGATTCACAGGTTGAAACCGATTTAGGGTTCCTCGAACCTTATATCAAAGGATGGCCTGTGGACGTCTACGTACGGCGGTACTTTGCAGAGCTATTCAGAATCGATCGTCATCAGGATAGGCGTGGTGTGGCAAGGAGGAGTGGTGTGGTGGGTAAGAGCGATCAGATTCACGTTCATAAAGGTTCGTCGTTGGTTTGGATATCAACGTCCAGTACTTGATCTAACAGTGGTTGAAGTTAAACAATCATTCACAAGAAAGAGTGTGGGTCACCCGCCGAATGTCGTTCCACAAAGTACCGGTGGTGAATCCTCGAATGGAGCAAGCTCTGTCCTCGATGCCGGGCCATTGGATGGCGTTTTGTCTTCTCAGAACAAGCGAATCAAAGACTATCGGTTTCTCAAGGATCGGCTGGCACACCTCGGAATTCGGAACGAACTGGACGTACGAAACTTGACTTCGACAGGGCGTTACCGCACGTTAGAGTTTCTGAGTGGGAAAGCTAAGTTCCTCGGCATCGAGGACTCGGATGTGTTCGTGCTAGGCGATCGATTCATGTTACTGTGATGGTCGATTAACGTAGTATCAGGGAAACAACAGGAAGGTGTGCATTGCAACGGTACATGGACATGTTACATCATTGTAGAATGTTTCGCAATGTAGACATGAGCATTTTGTGACATAGACATACTTTCGCGCATGCCTGTCAGCGGGCAATGGGACAGCGTTGTGTGAACGACCACCGGAGGTGCAAGACGACGGAATGTACGATGGGTCTGTGGGCGAGACTCGCCATGAGCCTGGTGCCTGGGAGGAAGGCGAGAGTGGTCGTGTCGAGCTCCGAGTGTGTCGTCGTGCGAGGCATGCGCTGTACGCTAGTGGGCAGGATGAGGCGGGTGAGGTGGTGGGTACTGTACCAGCCTGGAGCGAAGATCGTCAGTTTCAGAAGGAGCGGGGAAGTCCTCACTTGCACCACACGGCCAGCCCTCCGTCTTGGGACGACGAAACCACGTGCGATAGGTGTGGGTTGGGTCTCGGCTGTAAACTAAGGAAGTCAGTTAGGCTCAACGCAACGCGCTCAGACGCGCGTAACACATCCATATACTGTACCTATACGACCGTAGGTTCGTCACGCCTCACGCTTGACCCGTAAAATGAACTTAAGACCTGTGTCGCAAAGTTCATTTAGCGGTCGCAATCGGTCGCAATGGATACTGGCGATTCCGTTCAATTGCAATCAGCTGCAATGACCTTGGAACGTAATTGCAACCGATTGCGGCTAACACTCACAATTCTGATCGAAATAAACTTTGTGACATGGTTCGTCACCCCCACTAAGAACGGCCTCTAGTGTAGGCTACCGGACTATACCAGAATGTACAAATAAGGTAGCCCACCTAAAAAGTATGCCAGAGTAGCTGTCAGTATGAAAATGAGACAAATGGTAGCTGAAATGTACTGCGGTGTACTGTGATCTACTGAATATATGAATTAATATAGCACCATATGTTGGAATATGAATATATTCATTTTGAATGATTCTCGCTCGAGCCCGGTATACTGCAGTATACTGAAATATGCATTGGCATATCATATGCTACGTATACACCATTGTACATGCTGTCTATGCGTCCGGATCTCGTTCTCGTTCTCGTCCTCCCCTCCTCCCTTCGTCTCCTCTGCCCCGTTTACGTGTCATGGAACAACGAGCTGGCGACAATGGGAGCATTAACACTGATGTTTTGTCGGAGACCTGGAGGCGCGGTCAGCGGGTTCAGAAACCGAATATATAGACTTACAAGCTTTTCAGTTTTGCCATTGTACTTCT